TTTAATTCGCAATATTCAGATTGCAATCTCAGTTTCTTGCTTGCTCTTCGTTTGCTCGCAGGAAATAGACCCTCGTGGTCAGGTTGATCGTGCTCCGGCGTGGTCAATAACCCTCAGAAGTTGGTTTAGCGATTGCTAAGGCGCGACGTCCTCGCACATTCATAGTCGGATCGGCAAAGTCGACTCCGACAGAAAACAATATCTATCTCATCGAAACATCAGGACACCCTCGCCTCTTTCAGAATTCCCTCGGTTTAAATGAATTGAAGATCCATACAATTTAATTGGTTGAGTTTTAGTTAGATTTGAAAAAAGGAAGGCACGATGACATGATGCAATGCACATGATGCAATGATGAAAGCAACAAGCAAAAACAAATCACACCACGAATCTCAGAAACCATGGAAGGCATTTGGAGCTCCGGTCTTGGGGCGTCACAACACTCCACCACTACAAGAGGATCTCGTCCCGAGATCTAGGATGGCACCGGAGATAAAACGGAAGAGGAAGAGGTAAAACAAAGTTGCTTCTTGGACAAACGAGTGAAACCACAAACCTTGAGAGGTTGAACAAATTGAAAGAAAGAATGCAACGAAGATGAATAATGTTGAAAATACTCCGTTAGAAAAGAGGAACGAGGAAGACAAATTCGAATAGCACTTCAGTTGAGAAGAGAAGCAAGACTCTACAAAATGCAAAGAGCTTGAATGGAGGACACGACACTCCGGTTGAATGAAGAAGCAAAGGAAATAACATGATATTTGATAAAAACGAGATGATGGTTGAAGACTGCAACATCAAAATGCTTCCAGAATAACATGAAAATGAAGAAGAAAATCGTTTAGAAAGCATCCTTAGAAAGAAGGATTGAATGGAGTTGTTGAAAATTAAACAACAAAAGAAAAAGATTGTTGTGGGCTTATGGAAAACATCTCGAAATCTTGAGGTGAACTTCTGCCACTAACGAAAAACAATAGATTGGATTGATATGAACAAGGAGACGAGAATTCACCAGGAAGATAATTGAAGGACTTGGGTCATTTATGAGCACCATAAATAGCAACAATCCTTAGGGAAAGATTTAGGTGAAATATAACCCAAGATAACACCAATGAAGAGATTGATGGGTTGAAAAGATGTTTTGAGCGAAGAGAAAATGATGGATTTAGATATGTCAATCTTGAAAACTTGTGAATCATGAAACACGAAGGGAAATTATCAACAATGACATAACACCACCTCAAAAGATAAGAGTGAAAGAATTGCACTTCGAAATGCAAGACGAAGAATGCTTGAACTCCTCAAAACAAGACATGTGTTGAACACCATGTTTATTTGAGAGTATAGCTTGGTGGATCATAACTTCAAGAGAAATCATGAAGAACAATAGAAGAATGCAAAGAATCCGTGACGAACTACCATGTAGAGCCTCCATGAAGAACTTTGGTAATAAAAGGATGATCAAAAAGAAGTGAAGCATGAAAAGAATAAGATTGAAGCCTTGCAATGCTTGGATAGAGCTTTGCGACGAGATAAAGAGGAAAACTTGGAACTCCGGAAAATAAAAAGATGAAACAATTGAAACCGAGAATTGACTCATCGTGAACAAACTCCGGAAGAATGAATCCATCATTTGGATGAAGCAAGAATAAGAATTATGTTATGCGTATCCTTCACCAATTTAAATTGATGACCAGCAACGGATTTGGCATACTACTTATTCTCGTAGAAAGTATTAACAGAGATATAGCGCAAACTTGGGAAAAACCTCAACGAACCACTGGTAGGATTGAAACAACGAATGAATTAATATGATAACCATGGAAGAGAATCTTGAGCAAACCACTGTAATACTTGAAAATGAAAGTAGAAAAGGCACAAAACACCAGGAATAATTTGAAAACGAATGAAGATACTTGCTGGGATTTAGATACATGAGAACGAAGAGATCAAGAACTGATTAGACGATATTTGAATGATGCACCGGTAAGATTTGGAGAACGAGAGTTGAAAGCTGGAATGAATAATTCTGAGATGATGGGCTCCGGAGAATCAAACTGAAAAGACATCTGAATTGGTCCGGATGGGTGAAAAGCATTCTCACAATCGAAAACAATAATGAGAGGATGGCATCAAGCTTGAATCATGAATCTTTGAAAGAACGGGTAACGATTTAAGAGGAACTCTTCTTCGGTATTCAAAATCCGAGAATGACAATGAGAAACAACACCATGAATTGTTGAGACACTCCGGAATAATGAAGAATATAAATGTTGAATCAATAACAAAAAGAATTTGAAAGATTTTGGAGAAAGACATTTGACTGATGAGAATTCATTCTTACGTCATACTTTGGAAGAATTTGAGGATAGCTCCGGGAAAATTAGAAGAGTCAGGTAAGATCCTGGGAAAAGACATGTGGGTTAGGGCCCACTTAAAAGATACACTGTTGAATGATTTAAAAGAAAGATTGCACCGGTTGAATTAAAATGGCTTGAATGAGAGAACAACCTCGAAAACTAGCTTGGGTTGATTAAGAATAGAAGCACTAATCTTCCGAGATATCTTTGGCACAACGGAACAAATGCAAAATGAGAGGTGAATGATTAAGAGGTGCACCGGCATAAGCAAGCACTTGACATGAGAAAAGGATATGATCGACAAATCTTGACTTGAATCCACCGGAGAAGAAAAGAATGAAGAATGACGAACTTGAAGTTTCGTTAGTATCTTCATGAAGAATCACCGGATAAGAACATTGACGGAAAAGAAAGGAGAGTCCTTCAAGAAAAGGGTGGGAGGGCGAGAAAAACAAAGACAACTTGGGAAGATGGAAAGGATACCGTTGAGAAAACTTAGAGTTGATCTTGCGGATGTTGAAAATGATCAGATCCACTTGAAAGAAGCACGTCGGTTGAAAAGGATTGGCATGACCATCTCGATGATCGAAAAGGATTAGCACTCCCATAGAAATATGAGAACACCATCTAGGAAAAGGTATGGATTCAACACTTGACATTGAAGCAACTCGAATACCACAACTCAAAACAAAACAAAGGATTGGCCTGCAAAATAAGCCGGAAACAAACATATGATTGACCACGTATCGTATCATGTGTCTATTGGAAGGATATCCTACGTGATACTTGAATTCCCACTTATAAACACCCGAAACTTTCTGGTTATGCAATCAGGTTTTGGGGATACAGGGGAAGCATAATATCTCACCCAAACTAACAAATCCTACATCCATCACGGCTACACACGCGGTTGATTCATGTTAATTAAGTTAAGTGTCAAGTTCTCTACAACCGGACATTAACAAATTCCCATCTGCCACACAACCGCGGGCACCGCTCTCGAAAGTTTATACCCTGCAGGGGTGTCCTAACTTAGCCCATCACAAGCTCTCATGGTCACGAAGGATATTCCTTCTCCTGGGAAGACCCGATCAGTCTCGGAATCCCGGTTACAAGACATTTCGACGATGGTAAAACAAGACCAGCAAAGCCGCCCGAATGTGCCGACCAATCTCGATAGGAGCTGCACATATCTCGTTCTCAGGGCACACCGGATGAGCAGTCCGTACAACTAAAACCAACCCTCAAGTTTCCCCGAGGTGGCGCTGCAAGGGGCTCTAGTTCGGACCAACACTTAGAGAAGCACTGGCCCGGAGGGGGTTAAAATAAAGATGACCCTCGGGCTCGCGACAACCCGAGGGAAAAGGGCTTAGGTGGCAAATGTTAAAACCAAGGTTAGGCCTTGCTGGAGGAGTTTTATTCAAAGGGAACTGTTAAGGGGTTCCCATAACACCCAACCGCGTAAGCAACGCAAAATCAAGGAACATAACACCGGTATGACGGAAACTAGGACGGCAAGAGTGGAACAAAACACCAGGCATAAGGTCGAGCCTTCCTCCCTTTACCAAGTATATAGATGCATTAATTAAATAAGAGATATTGTGATATCCCAACATAACCATGTTCCAACATGGAACAAACTTCATCTTCACCTGCAATTAGCAACGCTATAAGAGGAGTTGAGCAAAAGCGGCAACATAGCCAAACAACGGTTTGCTAGGTAGGTGGGTTAGAGGTTTGACATGGCAATATGGGAGGCATGATAAACAAGTGGTAGGTAGCGCGACATAGCGATAGAACGAACAACTAGCAAGCAAAGATAGAAGTGATTTCAAGGGTATGGTCATCTTTCCTGAGATCCCGCAAGGAAGAAGAACGAGTCCATGAAGAAGACAAACGGACGTAGTCGAACGAATCCTCACAAATGCGACGTTATCGGAACTAACCCGAAGAAGCAACACCGGAAAGAAGCAAACAACATGGTAAACAACCATCACATAATCATGGCATGATGCACAACCAAGTATGATGCATGTCCGGTTTAATGAGGCATGGCCTGGCAAAGCGCACAAGCAAAACTACAAGTTAAGTGGAGCCCAATATGCAATGAGTTGCATATTGACGAAACACCACATTCCATTATTTAGTGCACTCCCGTTTATGTACTGGATAATATTAAATGTTTTAAACATGGCAAGAGGTGAATCATAAGTAAACTAAACATTTAGGCAAGTTTAAATGAGGCCGGAAATAACAACAATTCCGGTAAATCCCCACATGTGCATTTAGCAATTTAAAGCAAAGAACAATTTTAACCATTTTAAATGTTGTTATCATGATGCGGATGGCATATGCAAGTTTTAAGCATTTTTTATGAAAAAGTTGAGATGAGCATATTATGAAGCATTTGTCACCGTGGTGGAAAGAAAGGGTGCCACAACGACGATAACGAAAACGGTGCCACGGTAACGTTCCGGTTCCGGTAACTCGATTGAGATGCTGATGGAAAAGAACAAGTGTGCGGAACAAGCAAGAGTGACGGGGACTGATCCCGGTTACTGGGTTCCCACGAGACGATGGCATGGCAAACAAAGAACAACGTGCAAGCAACAATTCGAGCATGGTGCTAGCACGAGCATCTCATACATCACACATGCCTTCTTTCACGGGCGGTCGTCTCGGGGTTATACCTTCAAAGCGTGCGTTCTCGGAATGGTTCTGGTTCGACGAGGGAAGTAGAGTAAGAAGTCGTTCCGCGACGGTAGTAGAAGTAGTGGTACTATCGTTCTTCGACGGTAGTGGTACACGTTTTCCTGTAGATGTACGGGTCAACGAGGGGGTACTTGGCGCAACATAGGTCTCCGGGGTCGTCGGGTACACGTTCACATAGTAGACGTACACGTCGACGGTAGTGGTACATGGCGAGGAACTTGACGTCCATGGTGCCTTCGAGGGTCGACGGTAGAGGTAGTTGTCGCATCGTTGGGTGTAGTCGTACACTTGTCAGAGAGGAACTTGGCGCGTGTCAGAGAGGAACTTGGCGCGTGTCGGAGAGGAACTTGGAGCATCCAAGTCCTTCGGGGTTCCTTGTTGTACATGCGTTTCGGTGCGGTACTTAGCGATTCCAGGATGTAGAGGTACACTTGTCATAGCCGAGTAGTCGTTCACGTATCACCATGGTGTAGTTGTACTGGGAGTCCGCAGCAACATGTCCATGATGGCCAAACGAACCAACAACAACTGAAAGCAGCAGGGTGAGGAAAAAGGCTTGAGCGACGAGGATGCCATCGGCGTGCAACGGAGCAAAGGGGGCGCCGGGGCTCAGGGGCGACATGGACTTGGGATGGCGACCGCAAGCCCTAGAACAAGGCGGCCCACCATGTGACGCAGAGGAGGCGAGCGGTCGCTGCAGAGGACGCAGCGGCGGCCCGGTTGGGTCGTAGGGGAGGCAGGGGCTCGGCGACTCGCGCGATGCAGGGGCGGCGAGGCTCGTAGTGGAGGTCCGGGGCCCGGCACGATGGCGAAGATGAGTGAAACCTGGTCGACCAGAGCCGGATGCGGGAAAGCGGCAGCGCAAACGGAGCTCAGGGGCGGAGGAGCTTGAGCGCGGGGTGGCGATGTGGTGTTCCCCTCCTTCTGGTGCTCCTCCGACGAGGAGAGTTGGCGGCGGGGACAAGGTGGCGTAGGGTCGGGCGAGGTGCCCTGGCGGCGGCGCTAGGAGGGAAAGGAGGCAGAGAGGATCTGGCACGGGGTGCGCTGCGTGAGGAGGACGAAGGGGAGAGAAGGGATCAATCGGGATGGGGTTCTAGCGGCGCAAGGGGAGACGAGGGAGTGAGATGGGATCGGGGGCCTAGGGTTAGATCTGGGCGCTGCTGGGCCTTAGGCGCAGATGGCCTAGGCAGGCCAGCGTAGGAGGTTGGGGGGCCTAGGTGGGCTGGCTTATCTCTTGTCTCTTTATACTCTCTCTTATTCTCCTTAGAAGAAAGAGAGAAAAATAGAGAGAATAAATAGAAAGAGAGGGTTAGGGAAAGACTCTGAGGAAGAAGTTAAATTTCTTGGACTCGCAAAAAAAGGTCTTGAACCAGGGAAAAACAAGTTGCCTGATTGAAAGATTTAAATTCAAACTCATTTGAATTTAATTCAAATGGTTTGAACTAGGACTAAGATTTTGAAGCGCCCAAAAATGTTTGGATTTTTGGAGGAACCTCGGTAAATGGGAAGAGAATTTTTGGCAAGGTTTTGAAGTCAAGCTTGAACTAGAAAAGACATGGGGAATGTGCAAGTGTGTTTATGGGTGATTCCGAAAAATGGAATATTTAATATAGCTCCCTAATATCGGGAGGATATGTTATAAAGAGAATCACCACGTGAATTCCCTCGGTTTAAATGAATCGAAGATCCATACAATTTAATTGGTTGAGTTTTAGTTAGCTTTGAAAAAAGGAAGGCACGATGACATGATGCAATGCACATGATGCAATGATGAAAGCAATAAGTAAAAAATAATCACACCACGAATCTCGGAAACCATGGAAGGCATCTGGAGCTCCGGTCTTGGGGCGTCACACAAACACACCGCAAAAGAATTACATTATATGGATCTCCAAGAGACCATTGTATTGAGAATCAAACGAGAGAGAAGAAGCCATCTAGCTACTAACTATGGACCCGGTCCAGAAAAGACTACTCAAGCATCATCGGAGAGGCACCAATGGATATGATGAACCCCTCTGTGATGGTGTTTAGATTGGATCTGGGATTTCTGGAACTTGCTGCGGGTGGAATTGATTTTCATCGACTCCCCTAGGGTTTCTCGAATATTGGGGTATTTATAGAGTAAAGAGGCGGTCCGGGGGCACCTGAGGTGAGCACAAGCCACCAGGCATGCCCTGGTGGGTTGTCCTCCCCTCGGAGGACCCCCCCCAGGCGCTTATCCGGCCCATTAGATGTCTTCTGGTCCAAAAAAAATCCAAAAAAAGTTTCACTGCATTTGGACTCGGTTTGATATTGATTACCTGCGATGTCAGAAGCATGCAAAAAACAGCAACTGGCACTTGGCACTATGTCAATAAGTTAGTACCAAAAATGATATAAAATGATTATAAAACATCCAAGAATGATAATATAACAGCATGGAACAATCAAAAATTATAGATACGTTGGAGACGTACCAGCATCCCCAAGCTTAATTCATGCTCGTCCTCGAGTAGGTAAATGATAAAAACAGAATTTTTGATGTGGAATGCTGCCTAACATGTTATCTCATAATCTTTTGTTTATAGCATGGACATTTGGACTTTTATATGGTTCAAAGCAATAATCTAGTTTTGACATGAGACTTAAATACTCAAGCATATCAACAAGCAACCATGTCTTTCAAAATATCAATGCTAAAGTAAGTTATCCCTAGCCCATCATGCTCAATCATTGATCCATTCATGAAACATACTCGCATATTAACTACACCCAATGCTCAAGTGCGATCATGGTGCCCCCTAGTTGGTGCTTTATAAGAGAAGATGGAGACTCAAATTAAAAATAAAAGTTGCATAAAGTAAAAGAAAGGCCCTTCACGGAGGGAAGTAGGGATTTGTAGAGGTGCCAGAGCTCAAAGTGAACAACATAGAGATAAAAACATTTTGGGAGGCATGCTTTTCCTGTCAACGAGAACGATCGAGAAGTTCCCAATACTTTCCATGCTAGATATATCATAGGCGGTTCCCAAATAGAAATTAATGTTTATTCATTTTTCCAGCATACTTTCACTTTCCATGGCTAGTCGTATCCTTGGGTGCCTTCCATACCAACACTTTCCAAGGAATTTATTATTTGAGAACATAAAGTAAATTCATTTTTCATTTCGGGACTAGGCATCCCTAATACCTTTGCCTTACTCTCGTGCAATGACAAGTGAGTAAACACTCATCGTCAAAATAACATATCTAGCATGGAAATATATTAGCCACCCCCTACCGATTCATGAGCGGTACGAGCACACAAAAGAGAAATTTATTTTGAAAATTAGAGATGGCACATACAAATTTGCTTAGAATGGCAAAAGAATACCCCATATAGGTAGGTATGGTGGATTCATGTGGCAAAACCGGTTTAAAGGATTTTGGATGCACAAGTAGTGATCATACTTAGTGCAAAATGAAGGCTAGCAAAAGATTGAGAAGCGGCCAACCAAGAAACGAATAATCTCATAAGCGAGCATTGAGCATAATTAACACCGAATAATGCACCACAAGTAGGGTGTAATTTCATTGCATAACTATTGACTTTCGTGCTTGCATAGGAAATCACAAACCTTAACACCAATATTCTTACTAAAGCATAATTACTCATCAACATGACTCACATATAACATCATCATATCTCAAAACTATTACAAGGAATCAAGTTTATTTTGTCTAATGATCTTCATGAAAGTTTTTATTATATCCTTCTTGGATATCTATCACTTTGGAACTAATTTTCATGTGTTGCTTTTGATAAGTTCAAACAAATATAAGTGAAGATCATGAGCATAATATTTCTTTATCTCAAAATAATTTAAGTGAAGCATGAGAGAATTTCTTAAAAAATATTAAAGCACACCATGCTCAAAAAGATATAAGTGAAGCACTAGAGCAATTCCATAGCTCATAAAGATTTAAGTGAAGCATAGAGAGAAATTCTAACAAGTCATGGCATAATTTTGGCTCTCTCAAATAGGTGTGTCCAACAAGGATTCAAGACTTAAAACACAAAGCAAAACAAGCAAAGACTCATAACATACAAGACGCTCCAAGCAAAACTCATAGTATGTGACGAATAAAAATATAGCTTCAAGTAAAATACCAATGGTCGTTAGAGGAAAGAAGGGATGCCACTCGGGGCATCCCCGTGCTTAGTTGCTTGCTTCTCTTTGGGTAATAGCCTGGGATGCCATGGGCATGCCCAAGCTTAGACTCTTCTTACTCCGTATTCCTTCATCCATCATAACATCACCCAAAACTGGAAAACTTCAATCACACAAAACTCAACAAAACCATCATGAGATCCGTTAGTATGAGAAAACAAATCAATACTATAAGTGTTGATGCAAACTAATTCATATTTTATTATTTCATTATATCTACTGTATTCCAACTTTTCTATGGCAAAAACTATTTAAACAAAACCATGGAATCATCAAAACAAGCACACAACGCAAAGAAAACAGAACCTGTCAAAAACAGAACAGTCTCTAGCAATCTGGCTATTTCGAATACTTCTGTAACTCCAAAATTCCAAAAAATTAGGAAGATCTGACAAATTTGTATATGAATCCTCTGAAAAAATAATTGGTATTTTATCGCGCCTATTTTAATAATGAAAATTATTTTTGTTAGTGTGAAATTTTCTGTTTTTCAGCAAGATCAAATCACCTATCACCCAAGAGGATCCTAAAGGCTTTACTTGGCACAAACACTAAACTAAAACACAAAAAACACAATCATAACAGTAGCATAATTGTGCAAACACTCAAGAACAGGAAGCAAAAGACAAAAATAAATTGTATTCATTGGGTTGCCTCCCAACAAGTGATATTGTTTCACGCCCCCAGCTAGGCATAAAGCAAAGATCTAAGTTTTGTCATCTTTGTTTCTAGATCCATAAGATGCCCTCATGATTGACTCATATGGTGGACCAATTTTTCCTCTAGGAAAGTGTTCCATACCCTTCCTTAGTGGAAATTGGAACCTAATATTACCATCTTTCATATCAATCACAGCATCGGGAGTGCGTAAAAATGGTCTACCAAGAATAATTAAACAAGACGGGTTGCAATCAATATCAAGACCAATAAAATCTATGGGCACGTAATTCCTTTTTGCAAGAATAAGAACAACATTAATTCTTCCCATAGGTTTTTTAATATTTGAATCCGCGAGGTGCAAATTTAAAGAACATAACGGTAAGACCACACACATCACATAAAGATTTCAGAATTGTAGGAACACTACCACCCCCAAGTCACATAAAGCAAAACATTCATAATTTTTAATCTTGACTTTGATAGTAGGTTCCCACTCATCATGTAATTTTCTAGGAATTGAAACTTCTAATTCCAAATTTTCTTCCAAAGATTTCATCAAAGCATCAACAATATGTTTAGTAAAAGCTTTATTTTGTTCATAAGCATCGAGTGAATTAATCGTAGATTGCAACAAAGAAATACAATCAATCAAAGAGCAACTATCATAATTAAAGTCTTTGTAATCCAAAAGAGTGGGTACATCACTAGTTAAAGTTTTGACCTCTTCAAACCCACTTTTATCAATTTTCTCAACAATATTTTCACCCTCT